ATAGATCATTTGTTTTATGATTTACTTAATTCGCCATAATATTTACACCACTACTTACTCCCAAACAATATTGATCAGCGCTTTCCCAAAGCAGGCTACCCGGGTCTGGATCGAACCTGTCTCTGCCGGTAACAGTTTCTCTGGGAGACCATTCTGCTTAAAATGGTTCATAGGCCATCTAGTTATTTGTTCATTGTTAGGCATGGTGGGAGAGGCCACAATAGCTAAGCAGTCTCAGCTGGCTGCTGGAAGGAAGACTGGATCTGGCATTATTAAAAGGATGGGTTGTATATTCTATGCCCTATGGAAAATAGTTTGACAATACATCTTGACCCAGAACTTATTAAAAAATCCATTACCTTTTTAATTCAGGCTTATAATGCCCTTTGGAATTTCAATTTAGGCATCTCTTACCAAAATAATAGGTAGCTGATTACTGAACATGGGAAATTCAGCCTCTCATATTGACAACTCTCTTACAGGAGGTTTTTAATTTATTATTGACAAATTCATGTTCTTGGAGGCAGGCAGGCAGACAGGCAAGGGGGAAAGGAGGGAGGGAGGGAGAGAAAGAGGTAGAGAGAAAAAGAAGTATTTCTTTTCCCTTCGAATAAGCCTTCTATCATCTCTGCCTTCCGTCTGTTCATCTTTCCATGGTGCACAAACTCTATTTCCAGGGCCATTCATCTTTGCCCACCATCCCCTAGCTCAGCCCAGAAGGCCACCCATAGAAGTTGCACCTGGAGACCCCTTACTTTGCAAACTGTGCGCACTGAGACTGGAAGGCAGGCTGCAGCCTAGCTCAGATCACTCCAGTGCCAATGGTAAGGGCCTCATGCAGCTGAGACAGAGTCTCAGCCTCCCCTCGAGCAGCACCTGTGCTGGGATGGAAATCAGGCGTCTCTTTCCTGCTCTTGATAACACGCGCAAGTGCCCCATTGTAACGAAGGCAGCCAGCGCCCTAGTTTGACAGGGCTTCCTAAGGACTTCTTACTGTAGGTGCTTGCATTCAAATGGGACTAGCTAGAGAAGATATGTGTGGTCTCTCTGCCAACAGCCTTCTGGAAGGAAACTATCAAATAGTTCTCTGCCTGTGCCTGTAAGCACGGCCCCCTGCTTATGCAATCTTCTTACCCTGCGCTTTAAGTTCCTTCCGCAGTACACTAACACTAAGGACAGCTCTCTAGGTTGCAGCGAACAGGCTACATAGAGCCTTCCATCCTCCATCGCTGAGGAGGTGGAGAGTAAACACAGTCTGCTGAGGTCTTTTCTGCTGTGATATTCTCTTACAGTCCTCGAACACGATTAGCCAGCTGCCGTGATTGCTGTGTGCTTTCATCATTGCTCTACTGTGGAAGTGGAGCTGGTGGAGAAGCGACCCAGCCGGGAAACGCGGTGTGGTTACAGGCACGGGCGCCTGGTTGCACTCTTTTGGACCACAGGTTTTTTTAGACGCATCCATTTAGCCGACATATAACACAGACTTTGATTCAGCCTGAAACTCTTTAAAGGGCTTCTATCACAAATTTATTGTTAGTGAAGAAAACATCAAAACAGCAGGTCCTGCTGGGCAGTGGTAGTGCACGCCTTTAATTCCAGCACACGGGAAGCAGAGGCAGGCGCATCTCTGAGTTCGAGGCCAGCCTGGTCTACAGCTTGAGTTCCAGGACAGGCAGTGCTACAAACTCTGTCTCGAGAAACAAAAAAAAAAAAAAAAAAAAAAAAAAAAANAAAAAAAAAAAAAAAAAAAAAAAAAAAAAAAAAAAAAAAAAAAAAAAAAAAAAAAAAAAAAATCAAAAGAGGAAAACAGCAGGCCTGTCTCTATAGAAGCCTAGTGAATACACAAATTATTACTTAAATATACATAGCTAGTATGGTGGGGAGAATACTAGAGAAATCAGCTCTGTGTAGCACGGGTACATAGAACTCATTCATTTCTGGTGTTTTGTGAATGATCAAGCCTCCTTGCTCCAGGTTTAGCCCCATCTTTCCCTGGAGGGCTAAGACTGTCCATGTGATTTCCACTTAGCCTGAGTGCCCCAGGGGCAAGATCGATGTCTTTTGGGGAGGGAAGAGTGCTTCAAACTCTTAGCACTTAGCCTGCATTAGCTTCTGTTAACTATTCATCATTAAAGCAGCTGAACAACAGAAAGTGCCCTTTGCCATCAGCGGCTTTCCTCCTCTGGTGTGCCTACCCTATGCGCTCTTTCTTGAAGAATGTGATTTGGGGGACCTTCATCTTGGGTCTGCATCAGCATGCCTAAGAACTGAAGCTCAGTCCCCAGGACCCACTTAAAGATGAACATGGAGAATAGATTCCTCCCACTCCAAAAAGAAATTGCCCCCTGACTGCCACGTGTGTGCTGTGGCATGCACACACACCTAAACATACACAAAGGTATTTCATTTTGAATTATATGTTTTATTAACTAGAATGAGGTTTTTCACACATGTCAGCCTCTCCTGATCTTCCTCTCTTACGGCTTTCTTCATTATCATCAACAGGCACCTTGTGCCCCTGTAGAAATAAATGACTCCTGGGGGAGGTGGCGGCTGCTTTTCAGAGTGTGAATCTCAAGAAGGCAGGAGTGAGAGAATGTGAAATGGGTGATGAAGAACAGAGGTAAAACTGGCCAAAGCTGCGATTTGAAGAAGCCACTCACAGGTGGACAATGGAAGAGGGAGAGAAACTTGACGAGGACAGAGGCACCCAGAGTGGATGATGAGGGAGAAGCCCGCCACTGAGCCGTGGAGAATAGGGAGGGGCTGGCCTTTCTCATCAAGGTAAATACACGAACTGGTGAAGCAGGGTAGGAGTGTTCTGTGGACACAGAATTTAACGTGGTTCTTTGAAGATTCACAAAGCTCACTAAATGGCAAGTAACTGACACTGGGCATAGGCTTTAAAAAGCCAGTGTTTTCCTAAGTGTGATGGTACACACTGGTAATATCAGCACTCAGGAGGTGAAGGCAGGAGGATTCTGAGTTTGAGACCTGTCTGGGCTGCATGGAATGACCCATTTCAACCCTCCACCACTCCCCACAAAAAGTAAACCGTTTGCATGGCGGACAGCCATGAGAGCAAGACCACACTTACAGGTATTGACAAGGACTACCTGGACAAGAAAACAAAACCTGGAAGGCAGATTAGCACATTTTTACAAAGCCTTTGGCAGTGCGGTATCCCCTCATACCCCATGAAAACATGGCCTTCGCAGCACAAAGGCACCTTAGTCTGGCCGCACAACAGTGCAGGGTCTTCTGGAGCCATGGCTCAGGAGCATCAGCCCATTCCTGTGGAGCTTAAAGATCTAAAGACGAGTGTTAGTCACTCACCTTTGTGTCAGCTCTGCGACTCTTGAAAGAGCCACAGTAAATTCTCCGTCCACAGGCGAGAGAGCAGCCGCCGCCTCGTGGGGCATTCTTATCGCCAGTAGCTTTGCCCAGCACTTGTGTATGACACACTATTCATCTGCCCGGAATCGGTGTTTTTATTACCTCTAGTTCTCAGGTAAAGAGATGAGCCTTCAGAGATGTGCCTCAAGTATCTTGTCCACATTCATGCAACGTCTAAAGAGCAGAACTGGGGTTCAAAGCCAAGTTTGAGTGCTACAGAGTGTGTGATCTTACCAACTATACTTTTTGTTTTCGTTTTTGTTTTTCAAGACAAGGTTTCTCTATGTAGCTTTGGAGCCTGTCCTGGAACTTGCTTTGCAGACCAGGCTAGCCTCCAACTCAGATATCTTCCTGCCTCTGCCTCCCAAATGCTAGGATTAAAGGCGTGTGCCACCACTGCCCAGCCTTCTTTCTCTATAATGGATCTGAGAGACTGCTAATGCATATAAGGTAAGCCAACCGATAAGCATGAATGATGAGTTCAATTTGGGAACTTTTTTATCCATGTCTTTGGGTCAGCCTCGATTACCAGAACTATAGGGGATAATAAAAAAAAATAAGAGAATTAAGTTAACTCAAATAATGATGTTACATTCAGTTTCCATCCAATCACCTAATGTTTTATCAAGTATTCTCTATATTTTGTGTCCAATGTATTTCATAGTTCCCAAAACTGTTCTACTACACAGCTTATATGACGTTTCAGTCACAGAAAGGAAAACACTGAGGCCAACTTTCCACGAAGGTAAATGACACTAGGGAGTAAATAAAGTCGCCTCCAGGCCCTGTCATGGTAATCCTAATGAAAATCGATGTTAATAAGCTCCGTCTGTGTGGGCTTCTGTTGGTTTGCCAGGCATTGAGGAAGCGTGACCTCACAACACCTTTACCCAGCGCATGCTCGCAACCCCATGTTTTGGATACAGGATTTTGTCCACAATCAAATGGACAGACAGTAAAGTGGTGGAGGGGTTGGAACTAGCAAATGCCAGGGACCCTGCCTCTAACTGCTAAGTGGTACCGCATGTGACGGGCTTTGACACTGCCTCTTCTGGGACCTATCCCTTACCATTCATCAGTTGAACTGCGTCTCCGTCTCCTAATCTACAAGATGAAGACACTGCAGCATTGCAGCGTTGCCATGAGGACATCCTCAGGGGCTTCCAGGGGTGGGGAGAGGATGCGAGGAGGGGACGTCTAATATTTATTATTTATCTGATGTTTCTTGTAGCCCTGCACCATACTAGGTATTTTACAAATGCTACTTAATTACTGTTCCAGTAACTCCAGAAAAATCAGTTTAATTGCTCTCGTCTTAGAGAAAACACATTTGGGGGATCTTGGCAATCAACCCAGAGTATGAATAAGAAGCCTGATCCACACACTAAACTCCCAGACTCAAGTTCACTTTCTTTCCCAATACTGCTAAGGCTAATGCTGACCTCCCCATCACTGCTGGAAGTCAAGGCAGAGTAGTGATATCACTCATCTTAATAACCTGACCATGCGGAAGTCCTTCCGCCTCCGCCCGCCTCCGTGCTTACTGCCTGGTCTCTGCCGGCCTGCGAGCGAGGTCGTGTCCCGGAAGTAAAGGGGCCATGTTGATGGGTGACCCCGAGAGAGGTACTGGGCGAGTGGAGAGTCCTGAGGAGAGATAGCGTGTGGCCCGCGGAGCGTGACGCTTAGTGCTTGTCAGTCCCCCATGGCCCCGTGGAGCCGAGAGGCGGTTCTCAGTCTATACCGGGCTCTGCTGCGCCAAGGCCGAGAGCTTCACTACACTGATCGAAACTTCTACTTTGCTTCCATCCGTCGTGAATTCAGGAAAAAGCAGAAGCTTGAGAATCTAGAGGCTCAGGAGAAGCAGCTGGAGAAGGGCCTGGTCTTCCTCCGTAGCAAACTTGGAGGTCTTGTTTAGGATCCTCTCTTTTCCCTTCCTATCCTAATTTCAAGAAGAGGATAAAGTTGCCTTCAGTAGATACTCCTGGCACACCACCCCACCCCACAGATGCATTAGGAAGCCTCGGGTGAGCAATGGCAGGCGCTGGTGAGCGCAAAGGCAAGAAGGATGACAATGGCATCGGCACAGCCATTGATTTTGTGCTCTCCAACGCCCGTCTGGTGCTGGGTGTGGGTGGAGCAGCCATGTTGGGCATTGCCACCCTGGCGGTTAAGCGGATGTATGATCGGGCAGTCAGTGCCCCTACCAGCCACACCCGCCTGAGCCATTCAGGAAAGAGGAGCTGGGAAGAGCCAAACTGGATGGGCTCCCCTCAACTATTGAACAAGGACATGAAGACAGGCCTGAGCCGGTCTCTGCAGACTCTTCCCACAGACTCCTCTGCCTTTGACACAGATACATTCTGCCCACCCCGGCCCAAACCATTCCCCAGGAAGGGCCAGGTAGACTTGAAGAAGTCACGACTCCGCATGTCCCTGCAGGAGAAACTTCTTTCTTACTACCAGAACCGGGCAACCATCCCTGCTGGAGAGCAGGCTCCGGCCAAGCAAGCTGCGGCGGACATATGTGCTGAGCTCCGGAGCTTCCTGCGGGCCAAGCTGCCTGATATGCCACTTCGGGACATGTATTTAAGTGGCAGCCTCTATGATGATCTGCAGGTGGTGACAGCTGACCACATCCCTCTTGTGCTGGAGCAGAACCTGTGGTCAGGTATACCCGGCGAGGACACCATCATGAATGTTCCTGGATTCTTCCTAGTCCGTCGTGAGAACCCAGAGTACTTCCCTCGTGGTAGCAGTTATTGGGACCGCTGTGTTGTAGGCGGCTACCTCTCCCCAAAGACAGTGGCAGACATATTTGAGAAGGTAGTGGCAGGCTCTATCAACTGGCCAGCCATAGGGTCCCTCTTGGACTATGTGATCCGACCAGCACCACCCCCAGAGGCCCTGACACTAGAAGTGCAGTATGAGAGGGACAAACAGCTTGTCATTGGCTTCCTGCCATCAGTGACCCTTGGTGACACTGTCTTGGTGGCCAGACCACACCGCCTAGCTCAGTATGACAACATGTGGCGGCTGAGCTTGCGTCCTGCTGAGACGGCACGCTTATGGGGTTTGGACCAGGCTGACTCAGGCTGCCGATCTCTGTGCCTCAAGATACTCAAGGCCATATGCAAGTCCACTCCAGCTCTGGGCCACCTTACTGCCAGCCAACTAACCAATGTCATCCTCCACTTGGCCCAGGAGGAGGCTGACTGGTCTTCAGACATGCTGGCCGACTGCTTTCTGCAGGCCCTGAGGCGACTCATCACCTACTTGGAGGCTGGAGTCTTGCCCAGTGCTCTGAACCCCAAGGTGAACCTATTTGCAGAGCTCACCCCTCAAGAAATAGACGAATTGGGATATACTCTCTACTGCTCGTTGTCTGAGCCAGAGGTGCTGCTGCAGATGTAGGGCAGGTGAAGGCTGGAGTGGGCGTTGGGTGATCAGGCCCAAAGTCTCCATTAGAAACACTTGGCTACATGGTTGGTGCCTCACAGGGTCCCTAGGTGCCTCCTGTTTTGCTAGTCATTGTCCTGGTCAGTTCATGCTGATTAGAACGACATCCCTTTCGTTTTCCCACCTAACCCTATTTTTGTTACCAAACACTGTGCTCCCTATTGCCGCCTTGCTCTAGGCTGAGTTTTCTGGAACGAACAGAGAAGGTGGAGTGCTGGCCTCAAAAAAAATAAAATAAAATAAAATAACCTGACCGTGCACAGGCTATCTCAGTATAAGCGTGCCCATTTCCTCACCATCCACTATCAGAGGCCACTGGGATCTCAATACATGGTGTAGCCTTTACACAAATGTGTGCAAGTGAACACCTCTGATATTAGAAACAGTGTCTCCCTCAAAGGCAAAGGGCAGAAAGAGAGCGATAGTGTGTCCCTAAAAATGAGGACAGTGATGTGGGATTCTTCTCCGAATGCTATGAATACTGTTGGTTAATATAGAAGCTGCTTTGGGCCTATTGCAGCACAGACTAGGGCAAGGCGGGAATTCCAAGCAGATAGATGTAGATGTAGAGAGAGAGTCAGCAGTGTCAATGAGATTCCATCTAGCTGCTGCAGGAGACAGATGGTGGACAGAATCTTGCCAGTAGGCTACAACTACATGGCAATACACAGATTTATAGAAACGGGTTAATTTAAGATATAAGAGCTAGCCAATAAGAAGCATGAGCTACTAGGCCAAGCGGTGTTGTAATACTATAGTTTCTGTGTGATTATTTTGGGTCTGGGCAGCTGGGAACGATCGAGGAGTCTCTACCAACAGGACAGGTGGGCTTACTGCCCAATATAAAATATGTGCTCCCTTGTCTGAGGCCCCTCGCCCACATTACCACTCACTGAGTGTGCAGGAATTATCTAGCCCGCTGTGCATTGCTGCGTGGGAACTACGTTGAGAGAACCAGCCCAAAGAAAACATCAGGAACTTGTGGCTGCACTGGTGTGAATACCAAACTATGCTGTGAGTCCCTCTTGACAGGCACCATCAATGCTGGGCTACAGGCAGAGCCCAGAAGACCAGAGTCCTGAAAGAAACGACAGTAGGCTAATCTGTTAGCTTGCAAGGATGGCAAACATCAGGTACTTTAGAATTCTTAAATGCCTTCCGCTGCTCTAGCACACACACCAGAAATGTGCACTCATTGACACCAGAGCCCTGGCAACGACTAAGGCATTGATTGCCTGTTCACGCAGGCATACAGGGACACAGACATACAGGCATACAGGGACAGCTCTTTCTATGGGACAGAAAGAGCTGTGCAAAGGGAAGCCAAGACCACAGTGGAGAGAGACCGCACAGGTCAGCTTGGGCCATAGGGGCACCAAGTCAAAGAGAAAGTGCTCAGTTAATGTTTGTTAAGTCAGTGGAAGAAATTTAAGTAGATACTATTTCCTCAAAGCCACCAATGACCAGAAACGGGCTAGTCCCATCTCCCTCACTACACGATTACCTCCACTCTGTTCGACTGCCCTCATATGACTAAAATTCACCTCTAAATGACTATTTTTTGATCATCTGTCTATAAATTCATATGAATTCAAGAGAAATTATTACAATAGAACCAATTTCTGAAAACGTGGATACCCACAAGAAGCTACTTTTAGTATCACATGCCTCCCACAGATCTAGGATACCTCTCTGAGGGCAGGTTTCACACACATCATGGCTGTAAACCCTGGGCCTCCACAAGGAGTCAGGAAGCCCTGTACTGCCTCAGCACTCACTGGCTGCCTGTAACGGACTAACACCACCCATCCTCATGGGTCACCCTGATCAGGTCATATATATTGGTCTACTTCCTATTGGCAATAACCTGATACCACATAGTAGCTCATGGTTCTGTAGGGCCAAAATCAGAGGGCCTAATGTAGTGACGGCCTACTTGCTGGCAGAGATGGGGAACATACATGTGCAAGCATGTCACTTCTGGCCTCACCAGGATTCGATCATGAGGCCTAACTCCAATCATGATAGCAATGTAGTCTTTTCCCCAAAGTTTCACCTCTAAACACCATACTTGCATTAAGTTTCTACCATATTAGCACCTCAAAATGGGCCCTGAATTTTGAAAGGTGAACTTTGGGAGGCCCACACACTCTATCAGCTCATGACCTGTTTGCCATAGAAAAATGCAGGATATGCGGGGTAGCTTATGGAATGTGAGACAAGGAAACATAAATCAAATATTCCCTGAGCAAAGAAGACGTGTTTCGCTCTAGAGGTGCTGGGGAACTCACCAGTGAGTGCTCACAGACAACTCATGACTTCAAGGACACGCTGACTCAACTTTGCTCTCTGTATCATAGTGGTAAAGGCCGGGAGAGAAAGAGAGGAAGGAAGGCAGACAGACAAAGACGATGAAGGAGAAGGACTCAGCAATTGGCTTGGGCAGCAGAGTGGTGAGCCAGAGTTTAACTTCTCGACCAGCATGGGCGGATCCACCTCTAAATGGTTTCAAACTGACAGGCACTGTTCAACAGAGGAAGATCCAAAACAAGTGGCTTTCTGAGTTTCGTGGGCTGTCCTCCAGCTGCATCCAACAGTGCTCCATGTCAGCAAGCAGATTCTTGCTAGCCTACAGGCTGACCCACTGCTCTTGCCTGCCCCTTCCATGTAGGGCCACTGTAGGGGAATATTTGTTTCCCTCTGAACCTAGTACACAAAATGAAAAACAAATAAATAAACAAACTTAAAAGAATTCAACAGCCAGATATAAGTAAGTTTAACAGTTAAGTGTTTTCTATTTTTATCTGCTTTGGAGTAAAAGTCCACATGCTAGGATCCACCCAAGAATTTCTTTAACATACAACTAACATGGAGAGTCCTCTCTTTCATCCTGGGTAAAACACAAACAGTCCTCACTATGTGGAACTCACTAGTTCTTGCTGTTGTTGTTGCAAAAATTTAAGCCTAAGTAACCTGAGGATTCTGCTCCTGGGTCCCGTCCTGCCTTGGCTTCCTGTCCTAAATTCCCTGTGTGACAGATTACAACTGGAAACTGAAATAATCCCTTTCCTCCCCAAGTTGCTTTTGGTCATGCTGCTTTATCACAGCAAGAGAAACCTTACTAAGACACAAAGACAGGGCTAATTATGAACTTGTTTTCTCTTCAAGTAACAAAAAGTATAGGTCAGTTTTAAGAAGTATATGAAATTCTGTATTTTCCACAATACCAGCTACTTAAAGTACTTAGAGACATTACACTGATGTATTTAGTAATACTGCATTTTAGACACTAAATTTGTTAGTCAATATTCCTGTTAAAAATATCTAAGTCTGAGTAACTTCATAAAGAAAACACATTTATTTTGGCTTATGGGTCTGGAAGTCCAAGGTCACAGACCTGCAAATGTTGGTGGCCTTTTTTTTTTCTCAAAGTGTCCCAAGGGAGTATCAGACATCAGGTGGCAAGTGACAGAAAACAAGGGTGGATCTGTCTCCTGGTCACTCTCCCTTTCCTTGTTCATAAGGAGTGATGACTTTGTCTAATCCCAATAAGGTCCCAAAGGCCCATCTCTAGACATTATAATCAT